AATTACAAATGGCTTTAAATAATTCACCCTTTGTCTTACATTAGAATAAATTCAAGGTTGTTGCTCTGATGTCACTTCCATTTTAATAAGGATTTCTAAGAGGGAGCAGAGGGGGATGGGAAGGGAATGTGACGCGTTGAGGCTGAGAGCCGCAGATCTGGGAGGAGTCCCAGCTCCAGCACTTGCCAGCCCCAGTGTGACTTGGGGAAATGACTGACTCTTGATATCCTCATCTGCAAATGGGGAAAGTTAGACCACCTATTTCTTTAGGTTATTGTAAAGACCAAGTGAGATAATAAATGTGAAATGCTTACAAGAGGATAAAGCACATACTAGATGCCCAATATGTGAACCACCTTTATAGGGGTTACTGTCACCCTCATTGTCAATCTCACGGACCCTCACCACAGGCAGGTGCCAGTTACTTATCATGCCCCAGCAGAAAAAAGATTGTGTATTTCTCTCTTCAAGCAAAACTCAGAAAATCAGGCAGAGTGTTAAAATAGTAGCTCTCTCCTACTGTAATTTCTAAGTTAATTGGTTCATTTTTTTTTCTTTTGACAAATAAGTTAAATGGATGCTCATGTGTAACTAATGCAATATCCTTGCTTTCGTTTAACAAGAAAGTTTAAAGTTAACAGTTCTACTTTGGCCAGTTTAAACAAATTTAAAATGTTCCAGTTTGGTGAAATGCTCATATGTTATTAATCATGTCAATAGGAAACGTAATCATGGAACAGCTCTGCTCAGTGGAGAGAAAGTAATCTGTCCTAGATGGTACTCTGACCAAGTCAAGCGTAGCGGGGAGAGGGAACACACTGTCAGTTTGCTTTGCCTATTTGAGGATTAATTAAATAGTAATGACCCAAGCACTCAGATTATAAAAAGAATTAATTTCAGAGAGTTCAAGGACTATCTATAAGTGCTAAACTTCTCAGCATTCTTTAACAGAACTAGAGCTATTTCTTGAATGTCTTGGTTTCTTTATCATCCAATCTGTATGCAGTGAAAATAAAAGGCAGGTTTTTGAGAACATTAGAAATAATCATCTAAAGATTAAAACATTTCATAATACCCGGGGGTGGCAAGGAAGCAGGCATGTTTGTGCTCTGTCGGTGGCGGGGACAGTAAGTTTGATGCAGCATTTTGAGGGGACAGTTTGGCAGTACCTGTCGGAGTGAAAGTGCGTATCTTTTTACCCAGCAATTCCACTTACAGGGATTCATGCACTTGCAGGATATTCTTCCACAAGCACAAAGATGGGTGAACAAGGATGTTTTTTACAGCAGTGTTTATAGTAGCAAAGAATTGAAACACTCTATGAACGCTCATAAAGTTGAGTCATATAACTAAGTACCAGACAGTTGTTAAAAAGAGTAAAGTAGATCTTCATATTGACATGGAAAGATGTTAAAATACTATATTTGCAAGGCCAAAATTTTAGTAATATTTTAGATAGATAATAGAAAATTTCTACAGAGGCTCACAAGAAGTGTCCCTAATGTGAATGATATTAGATACACAGTGGAGAGCGGTACTGATGATCAAGGATGAGTGGGGGCTTAAACTTTCATTTCAGTCCTTTGGTTCCCTTTAATTTTTTTACTCTAAATATTTGTTACTCTTATTAGAGGGGGAAAAACAAGTAAGAGTTTAAGAAGAACAATACCTAAACTAAAACCATACCGTCTTTTTTATATTCACCTGTGATTGTAGGTGTCGTTCTTTGCCAGTTTTTTGCCACAGGTGTCACTGGCTGCTTAACCAGGCGCAGTAGCCAAAACGCATCACTTTGAGAAGTAAACTCTAAGTCCCAGGCCTGCCGTTTTCTACTTTCAGAATGCGTTGTCCTAATATCACCACCCTCCTCCACCATCGCTGTCAAAAAAAGGTCCCAAGGCCATGACGGCTGCCCTAAACCTAGAAGTAGCAAAACTTTTTATCTCCAAGAGAGATCTGGCTCCTGGATATTTGCTGACTCTTGGATAGCTTATCTTTGAAAGGGCACCAGGACAGCAGAACGGGAAGGTATGGCTGCCAGATATTTCTGTATCTGCCTGTATTTCTTAGCCTGACCCATCACCTTCATGACGTTGGCTGAGTCACTTAGCAGGTTGTTCTCAGTGCAGACCCCACAAGCGGACTGTGCGTGTGACAGCCCCCTGTAACGTGCACAGCACGTTCTCAGCACCTGAGTTTTAAAAAAGCAAACAAGCAACTGATCCTTGGGTCTTTTCCTATTTCCCATGGTCGCCCTAAATTTGTAGCAGCGTGGTGTTTCTTTCCTTTTTTATTTCCCAAAACCTCAGTGATTCGACTCAATCCCACAACGTCCTGAGTAAGAAGTAAGGAAGTGGGCATTCGTTTAGACCTGCCCTTTCTGGATTACAATGTGAAGGAGAAACGTGTTTACAATCTGAGAAAGTGAGGCTCAGGTTAAAAGACTCGTGTAACTTGTACACCATCTATGGTAGGACAGGGACTCTAACCCTCACCATCTGACCCTTAAGTTTTTTTTCTTTCCGACATCCCACCTGTTCTCTCAGGAGCCGCGTGGGTCCCTTCAGGAAGACCTCTGTCTCTCCGGCTAACTCTGCTACTTGAAGAACTTCAGAGAAGCTCTGAAAGTCACTATGGAACTAAAACTGGCTTTGTAGCCTTCCTGATACTTTGTTCAGAGAGCATTTAGAATATTAGAGTTACATACAAACTTCAGAGATTATTACTTCATTTGTGTGCAGAATTGCTACCATTCATCCTGTTAGTCAGGTCTAAATATCTGAGCCGGTTTCCATCTCTGGAAAAGAAGGAGCTACTATACTTTGGAAGGTGCGTTAGCTCCTGGCAGATGTTAGACTTGAACCTCTAGTTGATCCGTCCCCTCCACCACTGGACAGGGCCACTCCCTCTCAGCCTCCGTCGCCTTGTCTGCAGGACAAGGCCAGCGACTTCCTGCTTTTAGGGCTGTTGGGAGATTCAAATGAGAGATGTAGGTTAAAAGCCTTTTACCTCCTTAGGCACATCTGAGGAGTCAGACATTTAAAGGAGACTTTGTAACTTAGTGGTTAGGAGCTCAGACTCTGGACTCAGGCTTCCTGGAGGGAAGAGACCAATTTTATTTCTAGGAAGATCGCTTTGAGAGGAGACGTCTCCAGGAGCGTTTCTGATACCACCTGGGCTAGATTCATAGCCCTCAGTGCATCTCTGTGGCTCGGCTGTCTCATGATTCATGTCAAGGTGGTGATGCTGGGAATGAGGTCAGTGGCCTGAATTACCCAGTGCTTTGCAAATCTAAGCGTATTTGAAACCCTGATAGTCAACTGAATTCAGTAGAGGCAATCAAACCGCAGCATTTATGAGAGGAAATTTTCCTTATGGGCCCTAAATTCTATTTGAAGAAATTTCAAGAGTCTTAAATTGCTTAGTATTAAAAAAAAAAAAAAAGAGGAAGAAAAGAAAAAAAAATGCCCTGCTAAATTGGACTCATAAAGTTGATTTCAATAGTAAGCAACAGAAATAGGAAAAACTATTTCCAGATACTGTAAAAGAAAGCAATAGTACAGTCATAATTCAGGGGTAAGTCAGCCCAAAGTTTACCGCTCTGATGCTGTCATTTACTGAGTGGTGGGGCGCGTTCCTTCACTACCCTGAGCCTGTTCCCTTGGCAGTACATTGAGGGTGATAGGCCCTACATTGGTTGTGACAGTTGAGATAATGCATTTTAAGCATTTAGCACAGTTCTTGGCACATAGTAAGTGCTAAGGAAATAATACTCATGTTATTTTTAGGCAAAAGTGACTAATGTTTCTCAGTGATTAAGAAGTCTAAAGCAAGCTGCAGTGGTGTTTAAAATTAAATTTAGAATAAGGAGGAAAAAGAGATGGTTTGGTTTTCTTTTGTTGTGTGTTCTGTAACTTTGGAAATCAGCACTGTAGTTTAAGATTCTTGTGGCTCTGTAGTCTGGGGGCAGGGGGCCACATTTGTTGAATCTATGGGACAAAAAAAAGATAGACGATTGTATAACACTTGAAGATAAAAGCAACTATTGAACATGTAACCATTACTGTGAGAGCCTCATTAAACAGCTAGCCTACCATTTCAACATTATTACCATCCCACCTCCTCCAAAAACCTTTTCTAACCATTTCGGCACACCGTGATCTCCCCTGGGAACCCGTAAAGCTTACTGACCCCGTTTGGCCTCAGAAAAGCACTGAGGTGGCTTCTTACCCTGTCCCGTGGCTCTCCTCCCCAGGGCAGGGTCCTGGGCGCTCCTGGGCGGGGGCTGGGCCAGGAGGACGACTAAGTTCGGGTCTTTCCAAGGGAGCTTTGTTTCAAAATACCCTCCTGAACATGTTCAAGAGAAGGTGCTGACACCACGAGGTGTTTGGTGCTGGCTGTGTTTCAGCATTAGGGAATAAATGGATTTAGGGTGGGAACTGAGCACCACAGCCAGCACTCCCCAGAGAATTGAAAGTTGCAAAAAAAAAAAAGAACCCTTGAGGAATGAACAGCAAAAATCCAAACAGACGTGGCAGGGTATTTTAATTGTGCCCATGTTGGGTGGAAGTGAGGGGTACGGACAGCTGATCTGCCTGCGCCCCACCGAGGAAGCGGATAGGAGAACTAAAGGCATTTCTAAGGAAGGCGTCTCATTCTTCCATGTAAAACACTGAGACTTCTTTTCAATTCAGTAGGTGTTTGCTGAGCCCCTGCTGTGTGCAGAGCCACAATGATGGTAACTAACATCGGAGAACTTAGTATTTTCTAGGCCCGTTTCCTCTGAGCCGCAAAGTGGTCTTGGGCGTCGTGCGTGACGGAGGTGGGGACGGGGGTTAGTCTTGTCTGGGCGTGAGAGAGCAAAGGGACCGGGTAGGGAACGGGCGTGTCGTCCAGCACTCCTTACAGAACAGAGGTGCTTGAGAAATGGAAGGCAGAGATCCAAACAGACGGTCTCTGCACACCCTCTGAGTCAGCGCTCAGGTCTTGTCTGTTTACAGGCTTCAGAAGTTGAGAGACAACTCTCCATGCAAGTCCACGCCCTCAGAGAAGACTTCCGTGCGAAAAACTCGTCAACCAACCAGCACATCGTCCGCCTCGAAAGCCTTCAGGCTGAGGTGAGCTTCCCGTGCTTGGACCAAAGTGCTTTTCTCATCGGAGGTGCTGCCCCGGCCTTTCAGATAAGGAGCCCTCTAAACAGACCTGGTCTGTCTCAGATCTCCAGGGAGATCTGTCTGTGAGAAACCGAGTGGGGACCCCTTGATCCCTGTCCCTCTGCGTAGCCTGTTGACTAGAAAAATACGGTCGCTCAGATACTGAGCGAGTATGTTGAAATTATGAATGACCTGTTTTTTACTGAGTATGTTGATCCCTCCAGAAGCATCCTTGCCAGTCCTGAATAGAAGATGGGAAAGGGAATCTTCCCTTTATCCATTCCATGCGGGTCCAGTTCAGGCCATTTTAATAGGGCCTTATTCTCACCTATAAACTGAGAGTAACAGAAGTGTGTCCTTCATAGGGCTGTTGCGAGGACTGGGTGAGTTAGTGTGTGGAAAGCACTGTGTGTGGTGTTGGAAGAAAGTAATGTTATTGAAAGCAGAGAGGCCAGGCAGGGTCCAAGCCCCTGAGTGGGCCTGAGGGGAAGAGCAGCGCTGAGGGGACAATGCTGTGAGATCCCAGTGTGGGAAGGAGAGGGGTAGGGTCACATCACCAGCCCGAACGGGGGCTCTCCCCTGGGGAGGCTCCCATCTACTCTGCTCCTGAGATCCTCCAGCCAAGTGTCTGAACAGCAGCCCTTTGGCTGAGCCACACTTTGAGGGACAGTCTCAGGCCACATGAACACCCCCCGAGCCCCGACCACCACCAGTGTGGTTAAGGAGCCAGCCGGCTTGTCAGGCCAGAGGAGCCCAGGTGGCTGCTCCCCTGCTTCATAGATGACGTGAAGATGTTTTTCCTAAAGTCTGTCCATATCTTCTCTTCTCTCCTGCCTCTCACTCCCTTCCTCCCTCCCATCCCTGGACTTCCTCCTGGTATTGAGCAGCAGGTTCTGGAAGTAAGTAGTTTGTGCTGGTGGGTTTGGCATGCCTGTGACCGTTTGTGTGCATGACGTGCCGTGCGGCCACCTCCGCCGAGGTCTGACTCCTGACGCGCCTGTCTTCCTCTCCCCACCCCCCAACTCACTCTTTCTAGACCCTCGGGACACAGGGTCATCCCCAGGAGTGTTTATGGCCAGAGTTGGTCACAAGTTTCAGGGCGTGTAGGTTGGGGTGAGGGAGCTGGCCGCCTGGTGCCAGATCCTTGCTCCATCCAGTAACACTGCTACTTTTCAAAGCCAGACTATGGAATTGTTTATTTCAAATAAGTTATTTCATGCAGCTCTGAACCTCTGAGGCTTTTTGAAGGGGCTGACTTGTGTGTCAGAGCCGTATTACCTCACGACTCCACTGAGTGTAACTTGGGAAACAAAGGTGATCGTGGGAAGGAGAATGTAAAGGTCGGAGGGTACTTAAATGGAGACCGAGTAAGAACTCCCTTCCCGTGGGTCCCATTGCCTCGGTGTGGGGAAGAGTGGGCCCATTCACAGGAGGGCCTGCTCCCTTCGGTCCCTTACCCAGGTGCACACTTGAGAGACAGTGTTTCTTTGTTTGGCCAGACACCTGATCCCTCTGGACAAAGGCCACATACTTCATTTCCCCAGGACAGCATCCTATCTGATTGATTGGTGGCCAGGGAGGATCTGTGCCCTCTGAACAGAATTCTAGTGCAGAGAGAGAACAGCCAAAAAGCAGGGGGAAAGGTGGATTTCAGAGGGCTTAGGACAAGTTAGCCGTTCATTTCAGAGTCTCTCCGGGAAGAGGTCTGAGGTTGGGGCCCCTAGTGGATTGTTACCACGCTAGACTGGAGACCACGGAGAGCATCTTCATGTCAGGAGAGTTCACAGGCAAGACACTGGTTGAGTGGCCGGTCCAGCAGGGAACTGATAAGTGGGAGGAGCTGGGGGACCTGCAGGGCTCCAAAAGCCCCCCAGGGCCACCAGCAGTTGAGGGGACTTGGAAAGGCTCCCCATAGCCCCTGGGCAGGGCAGGGTTCCTGGGCCGAAGCATTGCTGGCCTTGGGGAATGACGGTGGCTTCGACCCTGCAGACCTCGAGGCCACGGAAGACTCGGCATCTCTTTCTTCTTTTCCTCTGTTTTCTCGCTGAAATGGAAGAGACTAGACAGACCTTCCTTTAAGGTCTGTCTCTCTCTTGAGACTAGCTAGATATTCAGCATACGAACATCTTGTCCTGTTTAATAAAAGGAGAGCAATTGCTTCTATCCACAAATGTCTTGAAATCAGCAATTTACTTGTGTGCATGTCCTGTTCCCTCCCGGGACACAGGCTGATGCAGGTGCTGCCATGGTTTCTGTATCCCTCTGGCTCTCCTGTTACCTCGGGCCACCGGGCCTGAACCATGCCCTCTAGAGCCAGCCCTGCCAGCAGTGGCGGAGGGACAGTGGAGAGCCATAGAATCTGAAAATACAGCGGCTCCAGAGGCCATCTGGGGCATTTTCTTGTGCTCAGGACTTAAGAAGAATGGTCCCTTGGGTTAGGTTCCACTCCCCCATAAACCGTGGGGTTGCACTAAAGTCATGGGCAGCAAGGTGGGGCCCTTCTCTGTGTTATCTGTGGAATTTCCAGAGCACTAACCTTCCCTGCCTCTGCCTGGCACCCACATTCCAGCTTCCCCAAAGCTCGACTCCCACCTCTTCTCAGGAAGGTTCCCAGAAGGGAGGGATTTTCTCCTCAGCTGGGAGTTCACAGCTGTTCCCTCAGAGATGGGGGCCCGGGCCCCTGGGCAGAGCACTTGGAGACACCCCTGCCTTCATATTCGGGGGCTGGTTGCCCGCTCCCTGCGCATCAGCCCGGGTGTAACTCCACACCACCCCTGTGGCTCTCCACCCTTTCAGATCAAGATGCTGTCGGATCGGAAGCGGGAGCTGGAGCACCGTCTCAGCGCCACCTTAGAGGAGAATGACCTGCTCCAAGGGACCGTGGAGGAGCTACAGGACCGGGTGCTGATCTTGGAGAGGCAGGGCCAAGACAAAGACCTCCAGGTACTGGGGCAGAGAAGCGGCCAGATCAAAGGAGCTCTCAGCTGCCCAGCCACAAGGCACGGCTGGCGGGCCATTGCTGCCGCTGGTCCAGGGCAGGGTGGAGCTGAGGTCTCTGAGTGGGCCTGGTTGTAGTTGTCCTCGAGCTCTGCTAACTCAGCTGGCCTTTGTCCACCAAGAACAAGTGCATCGCTACCCACAGGCCATCCTTCCAATGTGTTCTGAGCCGCTGGCCTGGGAGCAGTTTCACTGAGTTCTTTCTGGGCTCTTAACACGGCTGGAACACCAGGAGTGCCATTCTGCCTCCTGGGGTTTGTGAGATCTGCCAGAGATTTCAGGGCGAGCCTGTGACTGCCTGTGCTCGGCTCACGGGGCTCCCTGCTGCTGCTGCCCCGGGCTGGTGCATTTAGCTGGCTGGCACCAAGCAGAAACCAAGAAGCTGCCCACTGAACAAAGCACGACCTCTGTGCTGCTTCTGCTGGTTGCCGGAAAAGGCTCGGGCTGACCCCTCTGTGAGCCTAATTAGCCTCTTTTTTCATCCTAAAAGAAATCACTTCATGGCCATATTTGTCCTTATTTGGGAACTGCTACCAGGTTCTCAGCTGAATCCCCAGACTCACACTTGACAGGAAACAATGCCCTAAACAAAAAGAGAATCGCTCAGCCTCCCCGGAAACAAGAGTGTAGCACCTGCTGCCGAGAAGGCTTTGCCGGGCTGGCCTAGGAGCACCTGGGGCCAGCAGCTTCGAGAATGCTGCTTCCCTTTGGCATCCTCTGGGCGTGTCAGGGAGCGGAGCAGATGGCAGCAGTGCCGCCCATGTGGAGGTGGTCCAGGTACACTCCAGCGCTGGTGGGCCCCTGCCCACAGACCAGGCCACAGACGGCCCACTGGGCTGCTGAGAGGCCCTGAGGTGTGCGAGGAGGAGACATGTTAGGCTCAGGCCACTTGACACCATCAACTCAACTGATCAGCCTCTTTAAGGGCAAATGAGCCACTTCTCCTCTCTCCATGTTTTTTGTACCTTTAGCTCAGAGCTTTGCATAAAGTGGGGCCTCGGTTAATGTTGAATAGAAAATGATGCTGGCTACGAAAGCCTCACAGCGGCTTTCAAAATGGAAAGGAGTTTGCTCAGTTTTAAGGTTGATGCTAATCATCGCTGGGAACACTGGGGTGCTGCCTTACAGAGAACAGAGTGCTTTTGCATATATTCTAAGACTGAGGCTTAGAAAGAGGAATCCTTTAGTCAAAGTAGTGTAGTAGTAAGTCCTTGGTAGCCCCGAGCAGCAGACCCCCCCCCCGCCTGCTTTGCCTGGCGCTCAGTGGTAACTCCCAGTGCATCACTGACCTCTTGAGTCGCTGTCTCACCCGCATTTATTCCCCATCAAGCACTCTCTGGAGGGTTGCTGAGGTAGAGTGTGGAGAGGAGAAGGAAAAGACGTACAGAAAAATGGGGAAATAGCCCTGCTTAAAAGACACTACCAGTCTAGCCTGAATTCACACACGAAGAGCCCTATTTCACGTCAAGAATGGGAACCCTGGGGGTGGGGGAGAGCCGGGGCCAGTGTGCACTGTGCACTCCTGGCCGGCACGGGGCTGCGTGCTCTGGAGCAGCGAGAGTCCCAAGTCACAGCACGTTCACATCCTCACCACCTGCACACACGCTGTCTTCCGATCAGCCTTCGAGAAGTGTATGTCGCTCACTACAGGGCCTACATCAAGCCAGACGGTTTCCACTTTGATTTGGAAAATCTGCATTTATGGAACTGAAATCTCGTCTCTCCCGACTATTTGTAATTGTTTTCTTTCTATTCATATAGAACTCTCCTTAAGCTGCTGCTAATTAGTTCTGTCGCTGAAATGGCCTGTCCCGATACAGAGACAGACATTCCAGCTCACTCAGGTAGCAGGTGAATGGTGCTAAGTCAGACTTGCGAAGTGTAGCGCTAGTGGCCTTGGAATGCATCTAATCCCGTGATCTTAATCCTTTTCCTTAGAAGAGGGGTGAGAGGAATGCGGAGCAGGGCAGGAGGCCTGCCGCCGCAGAGCAGCCCCTTTGATCTGGTCCACTGTGTAATTGGGGTCCTGCTGTCAGACACAGATTTGTAAACCGCTGAGCAAATCCAGCTCTGATTGTTTTCTTCAGGCTGAGAGCAGGATGAAAAATATTATTTACTGAGCATCCAGTAAATTTAAAAGTCAGGCATTTTGCTCAACTCGTAATACCCAGCAAAGGATTTGTTCCTCTGAGGGCCATTTAACTGCCTTGTTTCATACCCAGCTGAGCGTCTTACAGATTGTGCAAGGGCCTCATCTCGAGTGGGTGGCTTTCGTCCTCAAGAGAGCACAGGCCCGGCTCACTGTGGGGACCCAAGAGCCGATGACCTGGAGTCCAGACCTCACCCTGACGCTGAGTGTGCTGTGAGGCAAATCGCATCATGCTGTTTCAGGCCCCTCGGTGTGAAATGGGGAGGGTCCCCCACTTCTGCCGACTTTCGGGGCATGAGTACTGTGAGCTTGAACCATGAGTTTAGTACACCCTACAAATGCCAGGCGCTGGCATCTTCCTTGGCCATACATGTAAATACGTTTGTTTTGTAAAGGGTGATATTTTAGAGGGCTCTTATATTTAATAGACTGTTGCCTGGTTTGGTCTGGCTTTTCTGCATGTGTCTATGGGTCAGTTACTGACCAGAGAGGGCAGACCTGTCCTGATCTTATTCTATTTTTTTTTGTACTTTAAAATTTTTTATTGCTTTTTATTGATTTGTGTATTTTCATTTTGTAATTTTTACCTGTTTAATTGGAGTGAAACACACATTTCAAAAAATACGTAAATCATATATGGACAGCTGGGTGAATGATCTTTGTTCTCTTGCTGTTATAATTAATTAAGCACCTTTGAGTGTGCATGAGTAATTGAACTAATTTTGTCCAGTGCCTGAGAACTTGTGCTTGTCTGTGTGAGCTTCTCCTGCTGAGATGTATGTGGAGTTGTCTAGAAAATGATTGTAAAGCATTTTGTCCATTTAGTATGTCGTTTGTAATTGTGCCAAATGCTTCCTAGGCATATCCTTGAAACAACAACAACAAAAACACAAAATTTCTTCTAAGTTTCCTCAAAACCAGGGCTGGAGGAGTTCCCACTGGACCAGCAGGGATTGCTGATCCATGGGAGCCAGGCAGACAGAGCAGGTTTGCCAGTTCCTTTTCCGTCCTCTGAGCAGCCAGGCCCCAGACTCGTCCTAGTTAAGGCACATCCAGAACACTGGGGCCACGAGCCTGCCACTCTGGTACTGACCAGCAGGGGGGCGGCTCCCAAGGCGCTGACAGGATTGGCCGAAGGCTCCGCAAGGCAGCTCCCTCTGTCCACGAGACCCGCAGAGCTCTGAGTTGCTGCCCTCAGTCTCTGTGTCTCTGCAGGAGCCTCAGGCCCCCTGGACAACAGTCTGGAAAAGACAGTACAGTGTCCGCTCCTTTTAGTGAACAGGGGTGACCCAGAAATGCTCTTTTATAAAAGGATAAGTCAGTTAGATTTAAATCCCAGGAAGTTCTTCTCCCATCCCCATGCCCAGAGACGTATTTTGAAAGTGGGGCGGGCAGCCCACAGCTACGAGAGTAGGAAGCATGGCTCCTGGGCCTGCGTAGTGCGGGGACGTGTACAAAGCGGTCAGCAAATGGGCTCAGAGTCTGCAGTCAGGGTCTGCGGTGGGAGAAGCAAGGGTGGAGACGCAGTGTACAAGGGAGAGTGTGGCATCTGGAGACCCCCCGACCGCAGCAGTCATAACCTTGCCGGGTAGCAGCGCCCTGTTTGGACTCCATGGAGGAGGGGCCACAGAGGGTGCAGCGAGGGATGAAGTAGCAGCAGCGAGAAGGAGGGAAGGAGCCCTGGCCTGTAGGTCATGATGCCCGCATTGCTGTCCCCTCTGCCCCCTGCTCTGAGCTGCACTGCCCTGCGAGGCCCCTTCCCGGCCTGGGGCCTTACCTGTAAACCCTAAGGTGTGACCCAAAGCAGGGAGAGGCTGCTTTTCCTGTGGGTTTGGGACCTGTCAGTATTACTGCTCAGATGTTATTCCCACCCCCAGCTCCTTTCCAAAAAAAACCCCTTTCCCCTTAATTTTTTTCATTAAAATACAACATACATACAGTAAAGCACAGAGTGGACAGCCCAATGAGCTTTTATGTGTAACCACCACCCAGATCAAGATCAGGACGTAGCCCTTTATCTGCACCCACAAGTCTTCCTCCTGCCTCCTCCGGCCAGTATGCTGCCACTTCCACAAAAGCCAACTTCTCTTCTGACTTTCATCTCTTGTATCTCAATGAAGTTTTGGGACTTTTTATAAATAGAATCATACAAGATATATTGTTTTGTGTCTGGCTTTTGCTGAACATCATGTCTAAGAAATTCATCTGTGCTGCAGCATAGAGTAGCAGCGTGTTCTGTTTTCACTGCTGTATAGTATTCCACCATGGGAATATATATATATATATATATATATATATATCCATTCTCTTTGGCATTTGGATTGTTTCCCATTTGTGGCACTTGTGAATAGTATTTCTGTGAACATCCTGTTTGTCTTTCATGCACATTTTCAGTCATTTATCGCTGGCTCTGCACCTAAAGTGGAAACAGCTGGATCAGAGGACAGGTGTAGATCACTCATTAGAAAGTGCCAGACAGTTTTCCAGAGTGGCTGTTCACCTTCCACCCCCACCAGCAGTTGTCCTGGTTGTTCCACATCCTCAGCAACACTTGGTATTATTATTCTGTTCCTGTATGTTACAGCCACTCTGCTGAGAGCTTCACAGTGTCTTACTCTGTACACCTGAACGTGTGCGTATTTTACTTTTTATTATGGAGAATTTCAGATGAACTCAAAAAGAGAAAAATATAATGATGCCTTGTGTACCCCAGTGCCCAGCTCTACCAACCATCCCGCCCTGGCCAGTCCCACCCTATCCTCAGTACCTCCATTTGCTCCCCTCTCATATTATTTTGAAATAAGTCTCAGCATTTTTATAATCTCATCTGTAGATAAAGAAAACCTCTGAATGATAAGATCTTTAAAAAATATAACCAGAGAGGGGAGGGTATTTAGCTCAGTGGTAGAGTGCATGTTTAGCATGCATGAGAGCCTGGGTTCAATCCCCAGTACCGCCTCTAAAAATAAATAAATGAATGAATGAATAAATAAGTAAACAGACCTAATTACTTCCTCCCACCAAAAAAGGTTTTAAATGTTTAAAAAAATTAAAATGAAAAAAAAATCGTATATATATAAAACCAGAGGACTATTATACCTGAAGAAATTTAGCAATATTTCTTTAATATCACCAAATATCTGGTTCAAATGTGTTCAGATTTTTTCATTTGTCTTATAAATGTCATAACTGTTTTTCACATTTTTCATCTGAATCAAGATACAAATTAGAATAGGCCTACACATGGCAGTTGGTTGATATGTCTCTTAAGTCCCTTTTAATCTATAGGTTCCCCCCTTCACCCTTTTTTTTTCCCTAGAAATGTATCTGTTGAAGAAACTGAGCTGTTGGTCCTGTAGAATTTCCCAAATCTAGATTTTGCTGACTGCGTTCCTCCTAACAAAGTCTAGCACGTTCCTCCCTGCTCTGTATTTTCATGTCACTGGGTGGTGGGATCTGAGGCGTGATGGGGGGCAGGGTCAGTTTTCCTGTTTGGTTTTGGCTTGGGTTCGCCTCACTCCCGTTTGGTGTCTCTCTGAAGCTGCATCAGAGCCAGCTGGAGCTGCAGGAGGCGCGGCTCTCCTACCGACAGCTGCAGGTGAAGGTGGAGGAGCTCACGGAGGAGAGGAGTCTGCAGAGCTCTGCCGCCACCAGCACATCCCTCCTGTCTGAGATCGAGCAGAGCATGGAAGCCGAGGAGCTGGAGCAGGAGAGAGAGCAGGTGCTGGCCCCCACCCCACGGCTGCAGCGCGTGGGGCCGCGCGGGGCCCCGGGGGCAGGCCCTGGCCTCGAGGGCCCGCAGGCCGTCCCTGCCGCCCCATCCCTGCTGTGTCAGCCTCAGCCTGGCCGCAGCCTCTGGTCTGCGCCTGTGCCAGCCCCTAGGCTGGCTGGCCAGAGCTGTCATGACTCAGTGCCTCTTAGGGGGTGCCTCTTGACTCATCATCAGCCTCATGCTGCTTGTGTTGACAGGGTGCTGGGACATTTGAGATCCATCCAGCTGGCTGCTCTTTGTACTGCTTCTAGCCACTCATTCCCCTAATTGTGCACCGACCCCCACCAAAGTAACTGCCGGTGTAAAGTGCTTTACGTGCGGTGGGAGGGGCTCGGGGGCCAGGAGAGTAAGAACGGGGAGTCTGTGTAGATGTGCTGGGCCCAGAATAAGAATCAGTATTTCTTGGGAGAGGCGATTTTTTTCTTTTTCAATTTTCTAGAACTAGTTTCTTGAGTTCTAGGAAAAGATGGCAAGGCGGCAGTCTTCTCTAGAGTCCATAATCAGAAATGATTCTCTGTGGGCAGCTGAGACTGCAGCTCTGGGAAGCCTACTGCCAGGTGCGCTATCTCTGCTCGCACCTTCGAGGAAACGACAGCGCCGACTCGGCCGTCTCCACGGACTCCTCGATGGACGAGTCTTCAGAAACCTCGTCTGCCAAGGACGTGCCGGCAGGCAGCCTGCGCACTGCCCTCAACGAGCTCAAGAGACTGATACAGAGCATCGTGGACGGCCTGGAGCCCACGGTAAGAGGCCAGGCTGGTGGGAGCCTGAAACCAAGTGCAGAGGGCGAGGTTAACCCTGGAACTGGAACCTTATAAAGTCTCCAAGGCCGTCTTCTGAGCCCGGGTTGGTTGAGGCACTGGGTGCCGGGAGCAGGCAGAGGGCCTGGGTGCCGGGGGTTAGGAGGCCCCTTGCTGCGGGCACGGGACGCAGAGGTGGCCTCCCTCCATGCGGTTCAGTCCGGGCACGTGCGAGGGCTCTCCTGGGAGGCTTTGAATAAGAAATGTGGATCCAGGTGAAAACTGCAGATTACTTTTCTGTTGCCTGTTGGTCCTGGTGGTGGAGTTAGCTGTGAACTAACTTAAAAGGCAAACTTAAAAGATAGGAAGCCTCTGCCCAAAGGATAGACGTGAGCACAGAAAGCGGAGGAGACAACAGACGTGGCCGCTCCTGGGGAGGAGAGGGGCTCCCTGGGCGGACTGGCATTTGGTCCAGCGTCCCGTTGGGTTCCTACCAGACTTGCGCCCCATTCGCACCCCCGGCTCTCAGGCTGCTGTTTCTCCTTAGGCTTCATCCTCCTACAGAATAGTTGCGCCCTTCTACCCCTGTTAGGTGACGTGGGATGAAGGGTGCTTGTCCTCGTCTGAACACGGCGCGGGGCTTCAGGGAACGCACTGTAGTGTGGAGCCCGTCGTCCTGGAAAGGGGAGTGGGCGGAGTGAGATGCACTGCTGGCCCCACACAGTTCCCTTCCCTGAAGCCTGAGATGAAGATAAAATAATACCTAGTTATTGTTTGCAGAGAATCTCTCTCCTCTAACCTTCTCTTTCTTCCTCCTGTCTCTCCTCTTTCTTTCCCTCTCTCCCCATCCCCGACCCATTTGCCCACTACGTGCTCCTCCCCAATCCCGACCGTCTCTCCCCCCTTCCCCCTCCCCCTCCCCGCGCTCCCACGTCTCTCTGGCTGGCCTGCCGGCGCTCTCTTGCTGTCAGAGCTCCCGGAGAATTGACGATGACTCCTTAGAAGAACAGATAAGGCAGACCAGTGAGGATTCAAGAGCTCTGCGCGAGCTCATGGAGGGAGAGAGGGGTAAACTGAGGCAGAGCCTAGAAGAGCTGCAGCAGCTCCACAGCCAGGTGAGCGCCCCGCCCCTCAGCGCCGCAGGGTGTGCCCGGTCTCCCCCCCCCCACCCCCGCCTGGCCCGTTGCAGCCCCTGTGAGGTTCCCTCTCCTGCCTCTGTTGAGAAGCAGCTGTCTGCCAACACGTCCTCGGGGACGGCGACCTGAAGTTGCCATGAGCTGGGTGTCTTCAGGGGAAGCAGCCGGTCGTCTGGTGCGGCCGGAGTGAAACTGTCGGGGATAAGAATAGCTGACCCTCGTTTCCTCCAGCCACACGCTGCCTTCTGCAGAGCCCACGCCGGTCGGGCGGTTTCTGGCCGTTTAAAGTGCCACAGCTCCCAGGACGCTTACAGATGTTATTCCAGCAGCTTCTGAGCAGGGAAGTTTGCAAACCAAGCGACAGTTGATCTTTGCAGGCCTGTTCTCCTTTGTCAGTGCCGCCGCCTCTGCCAGCCTGTTCCTCAGCTTTAGAGGCGCTGGCTGCTGCCCTCGCTGGTCCTTGCCTGTGCGATCATGATCTCTCATCTCTTGGGAGCGCTGGAGAAGGACATCTATATTCTGATCTGAAAAGTTTTAAAGGGCTCAGGAGCAGCCCCGCCCAGAAAGAAGCTTGTAAAATCTACCCCGGGAGATAGTAAAGGCCTCTGCCTTCTGCCTGGGGCCGTGTGTGGAGGTTCTGTCCCACTGGTGGGGGACGCCAGACGGGTAGCATTTTACGCCCTGCCCCAACCAGCCTGCCCCCTTCTTTCCTTGTCCAAAGCTAATCACCCCTTCCTGCTACAGGAAGAGCTTGCTGAGAGATGGAATTTAAGCCTGGCTTTCACTTCAATGCGTATTTCTTAAAGAATCTTCTAGAAATAAACTCCTGCCCTTTTTGGGTCGTACCCATTAGACTTCCTAATAGTATCCTCTTGGAAGGTGTGGGGAGAGCCACCCACAGCCACTGCCGCACTCCTGTTTCTGCGCGTGGCCAGGTAACGGGGACAGGAGGATGCGGTTGCAGCCATGGCTTGTCCTAGCCGAGCCCTGGGGAGTCGGGTCGAGCCGCCAAAGACATTCTTGTGCCTAAAACCCAAGACTCTTGGGTCGTCATTTGTTTGACCAGGGGCTGGATCAGACCTTCCAAACTGGAAGAACAAAATGGAAGAGAAAGCAGATCTAAAAGTTCTTTGGATTAAGAAAAAGTTGGGGTTTTTTTTAAGTCGTTAAATTTCTGTGGAGTGTTTCTGCTTATCAGCTTGTTGATGTTGGCTGGTTTTTTGTTTTGTGTTGTTGCTTCTCTGAATTACAAAATGAGAAACCCCAGAGAGCATTATTTCATTCAGAAACATGAGCAAGGTGTAGGTTGCTGGCAGTCCGCTGTGGAACTGTTGAGGAAGCTGTCTCCACCAGGGAATCTTCCTTGAAACCTCAACTGAAAACGGGTTTAGGTCAATTTCTATGGATTCTCTTTCAAAAAGCTCACCAAGCAGATGGTTACACTCGGCCCCACATGGGATATAGGGATGGGCCTCTCCCCGGGGCCCTCTCCTTCCAAAACCTCAGTCAGAGCCACAAACCTCTCAGCCAGACTGGATCCGTCCAAAACCGTCCCTTGGGAGTGACACTGACCTCCCAGGGCAGGGGTGGGCTGCAGGGCCAGGTGCCAGGACCCTGGAAATGGCAGTTGGGTTGGGGGACCCAGGAAGAAACCCAATCCCAACCTGCTCGTTTGGCCCCTTTATGCTGGACTGAAGTGCATGCCAGTTACTCCAGGGGCACGAAAACACAGGGCAGCGTGTGCTGGGAGCAGCTGAGGTCCTCCCCAGTGAGATCCTGGTGAACCCTCCTGCGAAATGTCAGTGTGTTCCGTCTCCACATCCCCTCCCCAGCCAATGCCCCAGCCACCCAGCCTCCATTCCCGCTGTTTGCGTCTCACGCCCTTGGCTTTGGCAGAATGGAGCGGAGCTCGGCTCTGGACAGGCTCCCCTCATGTTCCCTCACCTGGGTCTCTCTCGGCCCCTGGAGGCTTTCCTGTCCCCTGCATGTCAGTCCTGCTCATCCTGCACTTGCCTGATTAGCTTTCATTTCCTCCTCAAAACTCTTGTTCCCCTTCCTCCAGGAGCCCCCGGGCCTGCCTTGTCCTGGGTCCCCTCACTCCCCTCTCAGCCTCCCGGTCCAGCAAGGACAGGCTCGAGGTCTGACGTAGCTCTGTCTTCTCCTCAAGCACTGAGCGCAGCACCCTACCCAGAGTCTGCGCCCAAGTGATTATCAAACGAAGGGCAACAAAGGCCCGGACGGATGACTTCAGGACGTTTCCTTTGATGCTGTTCCATCTCGAGGACACCACCTTACTGGGGAAAAGTGGATGCCGGGGCGGCTGTAACCTGAGTCTGGGGACAAACAGGGACGGGCCCCCAGGAGGCCAGCCCGAGCCCGGGGGTGATGACCGCGTTTGACCCTCACAGTAACTTGACGGTGGGGAGCAGTTCTTCTTCCTGCTTTTTATGAACAGTACGTGCAGCCCAGAGAGGGTGAGACCTTTGTCACTCCTAAGCCAGCGGTCTCTACCTTGACCAGGTTTTCCAGGCCAAAGCAAAAAGTTGTTGTGGGGCTTTATCTGGAGCGTATTAAATGCTGGCATTTGCTTCCTAGCACGGAGTCTGCTCTGTCGCTGACTCAGCTGCAGAAGGCCGGCCTGCCGGCCCGCGGCCATGTCAGGGCCTGCTGGGTCTGCGGAGGCCGCTGCCTCTGCCCGACGCTTTCTGGGTCCGGGGCCCGGGCCGCTGGGCCGCGGGACCCGCTGAGGAGGAGGGTGAGGCCAGGCTCCTCACCTGTTGCCTTGGGGCTTGTGCTTCTCCCAGGCCCCCGACCCTGCCCGCTGGAGCCGCCCCCGCCGTGAGAGCACAGATGTTCCCAGCGCCCATCGCAACAACAGAGTGCCCTGTGTCCCCGGCACTGGGTGCCCCCTTATTTGCTCCTGAGTGGCCGCTGCCTGGGAGCTGGCAGAGCCGCTGTCTCAGGCCGGGGCGCCCGGGTGCCCCAGGAAGCTCAGTCATCAGTCTTAGGCCCGGGGCATTTGCTCAGTTTCCTTCTGTCTGAAGATGCATAGACCTGGGCCTTGACGGGCAGAGGCTTCTACAGACAGTGACGTCTGTCCTCTTGTGGGAGGGACAGACCTGTATGGCTGGATCCTCCCTTGGAAAAGTGTCACATGTGTGTAATATTTAACAGGAGGGCAGGGTCCGGCACCCTGACTCCAGTCTGATCCTATCAACTGTGAGAAGGGCTCCCACCCAACTGATGCAACAATTATTTCTTGAAAGCTCTACCAGGCAGGGTTTCTGGTTGCCAACAACTGAAACTCGCTCTGCTTAACTTAAGCAGAAAGAGAGTGTGTTGGAATTAAATCTGAAAACTTACAGAATCAACAGTAAGTCGGGAGAACTGAGCTCCAAACCAGAAAGGAGCCATGGGAAATGGGGCAACAAAACCATCTAATGTCCATTTAATAATTTCCTGCTGGCCAATGGCTTCACTGTGTCCTGAAGAGCTGCACCCCAGGGAGGGGCTGTGACTGGCAAGTCTGGGTCGCATGCCCAGGTCCCTGGGACAGGACGTGTCTTCTTTTGGCTTCCTTAGTGGGAGGGGATGCCCTGTCTGCCACGAAGGCTCATGCGGCCAGGGTGCCCCCAAATAGGAAGGGGTTTTGGATAATGACCAGCCCCCAAGTGACAGCTGTCCACTGCACAAGCATTTAAAGATGAAGCATCATCTGCAGTGAGGCTGAGACACACAGGAGGGTGGGGCACACCTCCTGCCAGGGCAGAGCTCTGGGCATGCGGGGCTCCCGTGCAGCAGGTGGGGTGAGCTGTGGTCACTGAGGGAGCCGCTCGGAGGGCACCTCTCCACCGAAGGCCAACTCCCAGTGAATGGGCTGTGGTGCCATTCCCTGAGGTCAGGACAACAGATAAGGTGACAGGCTTGAAGTGAAAGGTGGTGACACTTTTCTGTCTAAATTCCATGTGGCTTTGACCTGGGGGGCGGAAGGAAGAAGGTAGAAGAGCCAGGCTGCATCAAGTGCCATCACAGAGATGGGAGCCAGCCCCAGGCTTGGGGACCGGCCAGGGCCCACTGAGTGGAAGACGGCTGGAAACGACATTTGAGTCCCTACCCACAAAACGTGTGTCTCAGAGACCTGATGCCTGTGTAGCCTTCATTCACCAGGTCCCGGAGGGGGAGCCCAGAAATGAAGGAGGTGCTGTGGTGTGCTGCACAGTGCGCAGAGGGGATGTGCCCAGGGCCGCCAGCCAGGCCTGCACTGCCCCAGCCCCGGCCACTGCGCTCCAGCCTAGCATGTAGCCGCCTTTCTCCCGGGGAGATGCCTCCCTCGGAGCAGGGGCAGCCGGCCCCGCACACAGGCCCTACGCCTGCCTGGGCCTTGCTCTCTCCCGGCTCTCTCGGGGGAGACACCCCTGCCAGCAGCAGTGGTGTCATCACACTCATTCCCTTGGTTTTCCATCAGGTGACATTGCTGAGTGTGGAGATGACTGCGCTGAAGGAGGAGAGAGACCGACTCAGAGTGACATCTGAGGACCAGGAGCCAAAGGAGCAGCTTCAGAAGGCCATCAGGGACCGGGACGAGGCCATCGCAAAGTGAGTGGACATGGCTGGTTTAACTTCCATCGCAAGTAACGTGAGTAGGTGCTCAGGTTGCAAAGTGAAACCACCCAGACAAATACAAAACTGAAAGCCAGCGTTTCCCTGCTGCCCGCCCTCACCCCCAGTCCCATTCTGCTCCCTAGACAGACTCTACTGTTGCAGGTTGGCTGTGCACCTTTTGTAGGTTTTTTTTTGCCCTTTGCACATGCAGGTATATATGCAGCAGAGTTTCTGCAGTTTTTTAAAACACCAGCGATGCTCTACATGTCTCGGGTTTTTTCCACTTATATCTTAGCTTTCCAGTTTCATCGTATATATTTACTGCAACTTTTTATTTTAGATTAGTTTTCTTTTGTTTGTTTTTTTGACTTATCATTATGGATATTTTCAAGCTTATACAAAAGTAGAAAACATGAGATGAATTCCGACCTACCCATCTCTCAGCCTCAACACTGATCAGCGTGTGGCCAGCGTTGTTTCATCTGGAGCCCACGCATTGCCTCCACCTCCTCCCTGGACCACGTGAAAGCAGATCGCAGGACATACCGTCTCATCCAGAAACACTTTCACATAAATCTCTACCAGAAAAAGCCTCTCTTTGTAAAACACACACCACAATTATAACACTTGAAAAAACTTAAAACAATTTCTTAATATCATCTAGTATCCAGTGTTCACATTTCCCCAGTTGTCACATAATTGTCTTTTTATCATTGTTTAGAATCAGACTCCAAAGTCCACATATTCTGTTCAATTGTTACGTCCCAAAAATCTGTACCGCTTCCCCCTCCATCTTTTTTCCCCCCAGTTTGCATTTTTTTGAAGAAACTGGATCATTTATCTCAGTTTTTCTACATTCTGAGTTTGATTACATCCCCTGAGTGTCGCTTATCATTTTTCTCTGTCCCTTATATTTCCAGGAAACTGGGTCATTTTTAAAAATAATGTTTTGGGTTTTCTCTGGCAGAGAAGAAAGACAGTGCATTCTTTTACATTCTAAATATGTGGCAGCACGTGGCAAAAAAGCATATTCACATATTCCTTATCCCCCTGAAATTTATTTCTTCATCACACATTCAATCTACTCTATTCACTGAGTATGAGGAGATAAAGGTACTAAAAAATGTGTCTGCCTTTGGGACTTTATAACACATTAATATCAACATTTATGTATCACTTTACTGTTTACAGAACACTTCCATCCTTTAATCCTTCCAACCACAAGAAGAAGTAAAACTTTTTAATCCCAATTTTTAATTCCAGTTTATTACAGACGAGGAACCTGAGCTACCTTCCCCAGGCTCACGGCCCGTGGGGCCCACTGGCTCCCCTTCAGGTCTTTGAGCCCCGTTTCACAGCCTTTGCCCTCACTTGAAGGCTGTTTGTCAGGAAGCTAGAAGGAGCTTATTTGAAACAATTTCTAAATAGGTACTCTTTGCATTTCTAAAAAGTAATATGACATATTTTAATTTGATTTTAAAATTCCCCACACCTTTCCCCGTCTCACTTCCGTATACAGTTGTCCCCTGCCTTCTGTCCTCTTTCATCATTTCCATCATCTCCATTTTGTAGTTTTACCTTTACCCCTTTTCTATCCGGTCAGAGTCTCATATCCGGTGGTCTTTCCAGCTCCAGTTCATTTTGGAGTTATGCTCAGTGAGGCTCACAAAGCTCTGGGTCTGTGCCATAGCATCCTGGTGGATTCCGTTAGTGAAAGCTGGAATAGCAGTGTGGCATTCTGGTGGGCCCGTACTTTTATGAATAATGAAGGGTCAGGTTGTGTCAAACAGTTAGGAACTAAAATGGTAAAATTAGGGTGCTAATTGTGGAAGCCCACCGGGAATAAAAAGCAGAGTAAGTTAGAAGTAGAGACTGGCTGTGGTCACCTTCTGTCAGCTGGACAGACAGAAGAGAGCTGCCACACGCTCTGACCACATTCCGTCATCAGTGTGGGAGGTGGGAGATACCAGCAGAGAGCGTGTCAGGGTGTAGGAGAGCAGGAGAAACAAGGTGTCCGGTCCCCTTCCCTTGAAATAAGTGCACCTGGGTGACAGAGGAAGTCACCAGATCTCCATGAAATCTGGAGATGCATGCCTTGGCCCGCCCTCAGAGGAGGCCCAGTTAACCTCCTGGGGTCTGTCTGAGCAGAACTGCAAGTTCTACTCCCTGAGTAGGGAGAATTCTGCATTGAAGCCCCTGTCCTTCCTGGACACTATAAAACAGGGCTGGCCTTTAGGAGAGAGTGTTCAATCACTCCAGGATAGCTTTATGTCCCGTAGAAATGAAATTCTGGGTATATAAGAATTACGACAACAGACCTAAGGAATAATTTAAATGTGGAGAAACCACCCCACATTTGGATAGGACCTTAAGTGCTTTATAAGATGCTTTCATAGACACCATCTCTGATCCTGGCTGTGCTTTAGTATCATCTGGGGACATCCCCTGCTGCCAGGGCCCTCTCCACGTCTCCAGAACAATTCAGTCTGAATCTCTGGGTTTGGGGCTACTTCTAAAAGTGTCCCCTTATTCCCACCCCATGATTCTAATGTGTAGTCAGGAGTGAGAAAATGAAAAATAACTTCCCCCTCTTCACTGGACTGCAACTTTAAGGTGTTCCTTGTCCTGTATAATAGATGAGTTTCAGAAAAGAACAATTTTATTTCCTTGCAGGTCCTCAGTGAAAAAAACTGGGGGCTAGCAGCCTGCCTTACAAAAACACAAAGGAGTCAGTCGCTAGTGGTTTCACTTAAATAAGGAATTCTTCTAGCCCTTAGAATATTCTTTTTTAAAACGGGCTAATGTTAGCAGCCTCTGCAGCTTTGCTTGCTTTCTCATGAATGACAAGCGCCAAGATTCCCTAGCTAGCAAACATTCGCGAGGGTGCAGGCCGAGGCCGAGGCCGGGACACCGAAGCCGGCAAGGCGAGCCCAGCTCTGGGGGCTCTCGGGAAGGGAACCCCCTCCAAGCCCGGCGGGCCGCGAGTGCTGCTGGACCTCTGCCCCTCCGCCCGCGGCATTAGTCAGCACATTCCCGGGTCTCCGGGCTGCTCGTAGCGCCACCTGCCGGGAGACATTTGGAAGCTCAAGAGGCTGCAGCCTCCGTGAGGCGCCAGGGGCTTGCATTGAGGTTCCTGGTCCGAGGTGGGGGTGGGAGGGGCCGCTGGGTGTACATGGCAACCGGCGCCACGCGAGGATTTCCGCTGTTCGCCGCCAGCCAATGGCAGCGGGCGTGACGGGGGCAGCCTGACACGCGGCTGAGACGCCGGCGCTCATTGGACAGGCTCGGCTCCTGTCCCCGCAGCGCAGTGCGGGAGAGCCGCCTGGAGCGGCTTCTCTAGGAAGGGTGGGCGGGGCGCTGTTTTGAGGCCCTGGGGTGTCAGGGGAGGTGACTAATTGCTCGACGGACTTGAGGCCTGAGAGGAAGTGATGGTCATGGTGGCCCAAACACATTTCCCCAACTGCCCCGCCTGACAGCCGCTTAGCTTGGTTCCCGAGGCAGCTTCTGCTGGCAGGTCCTCTAGCTGCCCTTGGGCCGGGCACACCTTGGGTCGTAGGCCGTGTTGGAAGAAGACAGTTTTGTTTGTTTCGCCCTTTTGAATGCGACAAAGGCAGTTGATGAAGACAAGGGCTAAATAATTTCGGCAGCTGCGTAACCAGTGCTACCTCGCAGAGGCTGCCCAGTTAGTCTCTCGCACTTTTTGTTCCCATTTCCCTGCGCCTGCCCACTCTCCATTGCGTTTTGCATTGAACCGTGAGTTAGGAATGGGGAAAGCAAACAAATATGCTAAATGTTACCAAAATGTGAAAGTACGAAGTGCTAAATTGTGGGAGCATCAATGATCATTATCCAGAGATAACCAACTAGGTATTTTTGTGTGTGATCTTCAAATACACAAGTTTCCTTTTACAAAGCTAGTATCTTATCAGACTTTGTCTTTTGGTGCTCTTCTCCACTCAGTGTACATGACCAGGAGTATTTCCCCATCATCAGTAAATATTTCAACGTCATGGTTGCTTCTGGTGACTGTATTCCATCATATAATTTACCACTGGTCACCTAATTGTTGGCTACTATGATTAGCTAAGCTGTGATGATCACCACACCCTTAGAGGGGGATTGCTTGTGAAAAGGAGGCACCAGGAGGTTAAGGTCCCCAAATTCCATGAGGATTAGCCTTTTGGGGCGGGGAAAGGATTAGCAGCTCCTTAGTGCTGTGTAAGGCCTTTGGTCTCTGGGTTCCAGGCCTGATTTAAGTACCATCTTCTTTTAACTACTCCATCTGTGAGATGAAGATGACAGGTAACCAGCCTGTAGGTGAAGGGATTATGAAAACTGGAAAAATAAATACGAAAACATGTTACAAAACTTTGCAATCCTCTACAAGTAACATCATAGCTAAGGTTACAGTGACTCTTTGTTGTGAGTTTGGGATCAGAGGCTGTTTCCTCATCCTGTGGACTCCAGGCGAAGAACCCAATGCCTCCGGCACACGGCATCCACGCTCACCCTGGCTTGTCTGATTTCAGGAAGAACGCTGTGGAGCTGGAACTCGCCAAGTGCAAGATGGACATGATGTCTCTGAACAGCCAGCTGCTGGATGCCATTCAGCAGAAACTGAACCTCTCGCAGCAGCTTGAGGCTTGGCAGGTAAAAGAGGGTCTCTGAGCCCAGGCAGAATGTAAGAATGAGAGCTTGTTACTGGAGGGTCCTGTGCGTGTGGGTGAGCAGTAACCCCTGTCTTAACTGGCAAAGTTCAGGGCTTCGGCTTCCCCAGTCCCTGGGGAAGAATGCCTGAAGGAAGATGTTCTCAGGAGCAAGGACCCAGGCTGGGCCATCGGGGGCTGTGGTGACCTCCAGGCTTGGAACAGGGGCCTCCTTCAGCTGGTTGTCTTGGCTTCGTTTAAATTTGCTAGAATAGCTCAAAAGAAACAGCTGTTAACATGGAGGGCCCAGGAAGCCCTGTAAGACTGACTGAAAATTCACAGTGGGATGTAGCCCAGCCACCCTTGGGCTGTCAGCAGCTGCTCCCCTTCCCTTTCTCAAAGGCCAGCTTCCTTTTTCCGAAGAGCACTGTCCTGGTGCAGGTCTGGGGAAAATGAGTCAGTGCGTCCATCTCGAGGACCACCGTTGTCAGAGTCTGGACAGCCCGCCCCATCCCAGGCCCGGCTTGCCTCCCCACTGGGCCAGGGCCGAACTGGCCCTTTGTTGATGAGGTTAGGGCAGCGCAGGCTCAGGATGTGGGTGTGACCGTTCGTGTTTCTCCCCAAGAACTCCTAAGCAGACCGATGAGAAGCCACCCGCGGCTCTCCCAGGCAAGCCCCACGTGGAGGGCCGAGAGGAGGGCCTGACCGCGGCCGCAGGAGCGCCAGCACCCTCGCCCCGGAGGGCCGCTCCCTGGCTCCCCGCCTCCTGCCCCGCGGCCAGCTGCCTGTTTCCTGGCTCACAGCCCCTGTTCTCTCTTCTCTCTCGGCTACAGTTTGCTTCCTCAGGGCTTTTCACTATCTGGCTCCTTTGGTTTCTGATCTAGTGGCCTTTCTCAGTTCCCGTATCAACAGCTTTAGTTGTACACCCCTCCTGCCTTTGAGGTGAGACTGTGCCCTCATCCCGCCCGCCCTCTCCCCTGCCGCCTCCTCCATGGCCACCGTGTTGTGTGTCGGCACCATCATCTCCGCACAGTTTCCATGCATCGAGCCCAGGCCCCTCCTCCCTCCACCGTCTCGTCCCGTGAGCGCGGCGGCACGAGGCCCGGTACTGACCGGCTGACCCGGCCTTCTTGGTTCCACCTCATAAGTGGGTTGTAGTGTAGAAGTAACGCTTGGCCTGGAACCATGAGCAGCTTGTGCATGTGTGTGTATGAAGTTCTGAAGTGGTATCTTTCATGGGAACTTCTGGGTGGATATTTTAAAAACGCAGTTTGCAGTGTACTAGAAAAAACTCTAGCAGCTTCGAAAGGGTTTCTTTCTGGAGGACCCTGTGCCACTGCTAAGGTTGCCTTTAACGACACCGGTTTTAGGGAGCACATCCCGAGCACAAGGCCCCGTGCCGGGAATTCGACACTGGGGTTTTCAGAGTAGGGGCCGTGTCTCAGTTCTGTGGGGAAGAGGAGGGGGTGAGGTAGGAAGCTGATATGAAGGAAGACAGGGTGGCGGGGAGGACGTGAGCAAGGGGTCCACACCCGCCGCCACTTGGTGACACGGTCAGGAAAGTCCCTTTGTTTCACACTGAAACCTGCAAAGACATTTGAGTGACACGCATTTGGGTGAGTGTGTAGGAGGTGATGGACAAGCCAGCCCCACTTCCTGTCCTCACCAAGTAAGTGGCGGCTCTGGGCCACTGGTGTCATCTGCCCCGACCTCAGGGAGCCCCACCTGACACAGGCCACACCATCCTGTGCTCGGACATGGGCAGCTGACTCACTCCTGGCTCAGCCCCGAGCACTTTTGTCTTCACCAGGACATCCCAGAGCCCACCGGTTTGGTGTGAAGGAATCAGGCAAATGTTGTGGAGATGTTTACTAGACCGGGCTGCTTATGTTTCTAAACCGGTAGTTTTCCTGGTTTGTTGGTGGCAGAACGCCTTTGTCAAGTAGAATCTTGCACAGACGCAGAATCTGGCAACTAGAATGGAGAGCGGGTGGAGCCCCTCTGTGGTGTGAAAGCTGCTGTTGTGTATGACAGAGTCGGAGCAAGGAGTGCATTTTCTATGCAGCTGTAACAAATCGGAGGGGAAGGTGCTACCCCAGTGAGGAAGCCAAGGAAGTGGGCCTAAGTTGGAGTAAAACAAGCCCTGAAGATGGTGATGCCTGTGGCCTCTGCCAGACGGAAGCCTCGCCAGTGAGGGCTGAGTGCCCGGTTGATGGTGGGCGAGGACAGCGGAGGGGGGGGCTGTGACCGTGCACGTGGGCCGCTGGTGGTGTGTGGGTGGCAGCAGCTCAGGCTGGTAGTAACTTGAGGGGGAAAGGGGCAGGAAGAGCCTCGAGGCCAGCCCCTTGGGCTGGAAGGCTGGCCAGCTGAGGCCACCCTAGGGCCTGGGGAGAGGGTGTGGTGCCAAGCGAGAGGCACCCACCCCGCCCCAAGGGACATGGGAGGCAGGACAGAGAGGGCTGGTCCCAGGCGAGGCCTAAGCGTTGGGGTGGGGTTGGCAGCCTGGGCAGAGAGACAGCTAGGCAAGTATCCTTTGCAGCTGTCCTCTGGCTCTGCAGGGACCAACCTAGTCTGCAGGGTCAGCCGAGGGGATAAGGCTAGCGAGAAGCCCGCCCGAGCCCTGAGGAGACTGGAGGTGCCGTGTGGCTCGCGTGTGTCCCTGCAGCTCGTCCACACGCGCTGCTTTCTCGGTCATTCATCTCATCCCTCATCCTCCCGTCTCATGCTTCCTGCGTCTGCTACCTCCCCGCCCACCCCTACGCCAGGTCAGAGCCTGCTCAGCCCCCTGCGCTCTGCCCTCTGCAGGATGACATGCACAGGGTCATTGACCGGCAGCTGATGGACACGCACCTGAAGGAACAGAGCCGGCCTGCTGCTGCCCTCTCCAGGGCCCACGGCTCGGGGCGTGGGGATGAGCCCAGCACCGCTGAAGGCAAACGGCTCTTCTCATTCTTCAGGAAAATTTAAACTGGGAGGAGTCAGGCCAGCAAAGATGGGTGCACTGGAGGCGACTGGAAAGGGGATGCGGGCGGGGGCCCAGCGCACCAGGTTTGCATGCCAGGCCCAGCGGCTGCGCTGCACCCCTGCACTGGGGCCCAGCCATCCAGGAGTCCTGCCAAGCCTCTGAAGGCTGCCCTCAACAGGAGCCTTGTCCCCAGAGCCGCACCACACCCAGCGTGGGCTTCCCCAGGATCCGCTGCTGTTGAGCAGGGCTCAGGCTGCCTCCAGAGCAGCCCCTTGACTGGGCTCTGCTGCTCAGACCCGACGGACCACAGCCCACCCCGCCTACCCCGCAGTTGCTCCGTGCCCAACCCCGGGCACCGCTGCCCTTCTGTTTCAGAATACAGAAACAGGAGCAATGGAGGCCCTTCTCTGCATGCCTCAGGAGGCCCTTACTGCCCCCAGCTGGCCTGAGCTGCGGGGGCCCAGTCCCACAGGGCACCATGCAGGCCTGAACCCCGTCGTCCCCCAGCCCCTGGCCCAGGGAGGAAGGGGAGGTGGCGGCCCCTCACCCGCGTGCATGCACCTCCCCGCCAGGAGACCCAGCCCCCGGGGCCTGATGGCTGGGGCTGCCCTCACGTTTGGCCATGGTGGGCCCTGCCTGGGCTTGGCTGAGGTCATCGCCTGAGCCTGGGAGAAAGAAAGGTCTTGCCCCTGGCCACCCCTGCCCTCCCCAGCCCCTCCAGTGCAGGCCTTCTTCCTCGGCAGGGCCTCAGCCCCCTCCCTGTCCTGGGGCCAGGGCTGGGAGGGGCCTCCTCCCCCAATAGGCCCCTGCTCCCTCACACAAACAAGTTCTTGGTTCAGCGGAGCAAGGCCAGGCCACAGAATGGCCCCAGAGGGGTCTGCGGTCAGCCATTCCACCTCGAGGTCACCACTGGTACTATGGGGTGGATGCCTCCAGATGCTGCCCGCCAGGGCCCCAGGAGGACGGCCCGGCGACCTGCTGCTCCTGCCCCTCCCTTGGCAGGCGTTTCACCTTCTCTGCCGAGGCCCCAACGCAGAGGTGCCCAGGCTGCGCCAGCCACAAGCTGCTTCACAAAGGCTCTCCTCCCCCTCCCACGGGCAAAGCACAGCAGGGATCAGTGGCAAGAATGTTCCTATAGATATTATGTACAGACCACAGGGCTGTAATTTTGTACGTAGCGCTCATGTAAATACACGTATGGATTTTATAATATACATATTATATATGAATCTATAAAGGCATATTTTTAGAAAAACAGCACACCACTGCTTCTTTTGAAAATAGTCTAAGAATAAAATGAATTTCTACAGAGCTTCCCGCCTCTGTCATTGGGTACCTGGAGGGTGTCTGGTCCGAATGCAGCTTACCTTTCAGAACTGCTGGCTGTGAAGAGGCAGTGATGGCGTGCCCCCAGCCTGGGAAGTCACCTCGTCCATGGGCACCCAGTCAGTGGATCCAGCCAGGAAGGGGCACCTCCCTTGGAGGGCGGAGGCATCCCCGTCAGTGGCGTTTGTTTTGGGAGCAGTGGCCGCAGGCTCCCTGCCAGCGCTGCAGTTGCCCGGCTACAGGCAGGCCCTGCCGGCGCCACTTCTCAAGCTCCAAGCAGGCCCAGCAACTTGGCAGAAACTTGGAGCCAGAAAGAGATCGCTGTAGGCAAAGCTTCCACTGCATCCTTCCGGGCACGCGGAGAATAAACACGGCGCTTCCCCTGGCATCTTACCACGTGTGCTCCTGGCCGAGGAGACGCTCAACCCGCACCCACCTTCTGTGGAGAGAACGAGCCTGGCTTCTGAAAGCAGCCCTGGGCCTCAGAAGGCACCTGTGCGGGGCTCAGACCAGAACAAACAAGAGCTGGACACAGTGAGTGGGAAGAGGCCAGGCCCACCCAGAGCACAGCTGGAGGAGAGGAAACAGACCCTGGAAGAAAATTTGGCAGCTTGAACCTTTATTTTTAGTATTTTTTTTAAAAAGCATAATTAGAAACTTTCAATACAGAAATAATCCTAGCAAACCATTTAAAAGTTTTGTTGTTCGACAGGAATTTCACATCAGGTCCACCAGGACACCAGTCCAGCCCTGAATCCCCCACCCCCACCCCCCTTCATGCATGTGACACTCAGTGGGACAGGCACAGTCATCACCAAATCAGCCCACCACCTCGGTCTGGATTCCCAGTTGCCAGAAGCCAGTGACTTCTAGCTTGGGCTGGAAGGTTCCAGAACCCCCTCCTCTTATTGCTGTCATCTGCAAGCACTGCCACGCCAGTGTCACCTGAGTGCTCAGAGCTGAGTACACAGCCCACCCAGAAGCCTGAACTCTGCACATCCCCCACAGGACCCGCCAGGGTGGTCCTGAGGACCAATACCACATGGGGCTCCCGGCCCCCCAACCAGATGGGGCCCCCACAGCACCGTCTTCCCAGGCCTAGAGCTCCCTCACCTCATCCCGCAGCTCCAAAGTGAAGGCCTGTCACACAGAACCATGGGCTTTTTTGGCAGTTTGGGGAAGTGGAGAGACAGGTCAGAAGAAACCCCCAGTTTTTACTGATTAAAAATCCATCAACACTAACATGGAAAATCTGCAGTGAGATCTGTGATGTGATTGTCCAATCAGGGCTTGACCTGGAAAATCGTGTAGGAGAGGAAATTAATAAAACACCTCGTGGTGTTGAAATAAATTATTCCCAGGTTACGTGATCCTTTTAGGGGAAGGTGAATGAAGTGTCCCGAGGGGGTGGGGGTGACAGTAATCAGATGCAGGGGACCCTGGTTCCTCTAGGGCACCAGGGTGGGTGGAGGCTCCCAGCCCCACCCAGCAGCCTTCCTTCCCACCCATGAAGAAATCCTCATGCTACCCTTGTACGGAAACAGTCCTGTCAGCGATCCAAGGCTGCCTGCGTCCAGCTCAGAGGCTTCATCCTCACGGCCCAGCCGCCCCAGCGCCCACTCCCCACACTTACAGGTGCTGCATCAGAGACCCAGGACTCAGCGGGAGGCCCCTCCTCTCCCACCCAGAGCTGCTCAGCCAGGAGCCCAGCTCCACGACAGGCAGCCATTCGCTTTTTTTTTTTAAAAACACTGGACCCAAAGTGGGGAGGCCACAGCTTTTACCGCTGGGCCAACCAAACCTCAGGAAGAGAAAAAAATTATAAGGAACTTAATTCATTTGATTTGGCTTCATTTTTTTTTTATCTGTTAAAATAATGCTCCTGAGTCCCCCTGCAAGCCCATCCCTGCACAAACAGCCCTACCTTTCTGTCGCAACCGAAACAGGTTGGTATATAAATTAGACGCCACAGCTCTCCTGGGTGTGTAGCTCATAGTCATCTAGAAGTCAGGACAAGAAATCTGTTGGCCAAAGGGCAGGAGTGACTCCTTCTGTGGACCCGAAGGGCTGGGCCTTTGATGGGGACCCCCAGGCCCACCTCAAGGCCGGGTTTCCCCAGCTGCCAGAGTGGTGACGGGGACGGGGTGGGGAGGGAGAGGAGCTGGGAACAGACGGCACAGGCCCCAGACAGGGGTGAGCCCCTCCGTGCCAGGCACAGCCGCCGACAACCTGCAGGAGAGAACGAGTCACGCGGAGCCCCTCCACCAGCCCAGGTTGGCAAAAAAACGTGTGTCTAGAACGCGATCCTGTCTCCTCAGGAAGCTGCTGGCAGTAAGATGGGGCGGGGGGCGGAGGGTGTCGCAGCAGGCTGGCATTAAGGAGGCAGAAGCCAGAGCAGGACGAGGGTGATGCGCTGGTTAAAGCATATACATTATGTACAAACTCCGGTTAATCAGTCCACTTGGCTGGCAGCGTCCTCGCCGGGCCCAGGCGCCTTGGCCGGGGGCAGGGGCACCAGAAGGGCAGGGCAGGTCGTCCGACACCTTCTTGGCACTCGAGGAGGGAGGGGAGGAAGTGTCGATGGAGCCTCCCGGTACAAAAACGTGGAGAGAATTCTTTAAATAACGGCACGAAACTGAGACTGTCCCCCGAGGAGAGGAGCCCGGCGGCCTGGGCCGGGGGAGCAGCCGCAGGGCAGTCTCTGCAGTGGGCTGGGGCATTAGCAGCAGCGTTTCTTTCGTTTACTATTCTTCGTGAGCTTCACCACATCGTTCTGTTGCTGCTGCTGCTGTTTCGCTAAGTTGTCCTTCTTTGCTCGGAGGACCAGCTCTGTGATGCAGTTGAACATCTGTGAAGAAGGAAGAGGCAGGGCGGGCCTCAGCCCAGTGCGGAGGCCCAGTCACGGCGGCCCCAGCTCAGCCGGCCAGCTCGGCACCCCCCGCCGCCTCCCCGGCCCAGCATTCTACTTCTACTCGTGAGTGGTTTGTAGGTATATCCTCAAACCCTTTCTAGAAGGAGGTGGTGAATTATAAAGGTCAAAAGAGATATACATCAAAGACCTCTGAGCTCTGTCTTGGGGATGTCAATCTCTCGGAGATTTGCCAGTCTTAAAGGAGAAAGAACTCCTTTCCTTCAGCTGGAATCTTGGGACAGCACAAATAAAGGTGCCCGTGCTCTGGTGAGGGACCAGAAGCACCCAGAGCCTGGCGGTTCCACGCCACCTCGCTGCACAACCTGCACAAACCTTCCCCGGACCACCCCAACACACCCTGGGGATGCCACCCCACGGTCCTCTCCTCCACTCCCAGGAAAGGTATCAAACAGGTAACATAACTGGCTTCACTCTTTCCTCACAACCCAGGAGGCAGGGCTCTCACCCCACCCCAGTCTACACAGGGGACAGTGGAGCTGTGGAGCCCAGAGAGACCACAGGGCCCTGCCACAGGCCCACAAGCGGAAAGGCCCACCCTGACTTTAGCCTGACTCGGAGGTGCTGGGGCTCCCCACTGCCAGGAGGCCTGTGTCCAGAATGCAGGGGCATTCGGCTTTCCTGGGCCTCTGGCCTCCACACCAGAGGGGCAGGACTCTCCCAAAGCCACTAGCACAGCCAGCCTGGGCTGGTGCCAAAAGGTCCGGCTTTTCTCCCACAGACTCTCAAGTGTTCTCTAGCAGCCCCGCAGCAGTGAAACGGGGATGCCCCGGCCAGAGGCCCAGCCAGTCAGGGGATTACATCCCCAGGAGCCTCGGGGGCTCACCCGGATGCCCACCTGAGCTCTGGAGGCCACAAGAAAGCACGCTGGTCTCTGCAGGAGCCCAAGGCCCCAGGGAAAGCCAGGAGCATGAAGGGGTGACAGTGGTGGTGTCGGGGAGGGCCGGGGAGGCAGAGGACTGGGTGGACACCATGCATGGCTGTGGTGTGGGGCAGGTCTGAGTGCTACTCAGCCTCTCACGAGCTGGAACCTCCATTTCTCATGTGACATGTGGGACTAAGTGACCTCAGAACTGCTGAGATAGGAGGAGACGCCTGTGGAGGGCCACACCATGCCCGCGCACACAGTAGGCACTCCGCACATGGCAGTACCACGACGTTTCCTGTCTGCCCCTGGATACCCTGGGCAGGCCAGCATGGGGCGAGGAGGCTGTGGTGGAGCAGAGCTGGGCCCCGCTCACGCCCCCGGCTCCGGCACAGGCCTCACCTCCTCCACGTTGACATTCTCCTTGGCGCTGGTCTCAAATAACTGGATCCCCATCTGCCCGGCGAACTTGTAGGCGTCTTCTGTCTCCACCACCTTCCGCTCGGGGTCGTCATTCTTATTCCCCACTTCAAGGCAAAGCAGAGTCAGCCCAGCCCCACACGATGCCCACCACCCTCCATCCCACTGTCCCTACCCTGCTGGGTCCGGCCTCACCTAGTATCCGGCATACATCATCACAGTTCTGGTTAATTTCGTGAAGCCACCGCTTGACGTTGACAAATGACTCGGCACTGGTGACGTCATAAACCACGATTACCCCGTGGGTCCCCCGGTAATACCTGCAGGGCCAGGGTCTGTGTCAGAGCTTCTGTCTAAACAAGAGTAGCCCCTTTGCAGAACCCGCCTACCTACATCCACACGCCTGGGGAAACGGCCAGGGAGCGAATGTTCCCCCGAGACTCCTGAGGTCTACTCTCCCTCTGGCCTCAGCTGGACATGCTGGGACCCTGCCCCAACCAGCAGGAGGGACGCCTGGCAGCACTGCTGCTCACGCTCACCCCCCGGCATGGTAAGTAGGGGGTGCTCGGCCCTGTGGTGGCCAGCCGGGTCGTTCAGAGTCTGCCACTGGCTTGAAGCATCTTTGAAGTTCTGGTTTTGTTTTTAAAATTCAAGCAATTTGAGCATTTGACCCATTATCACTGTCCTCAAATCTGTCTTAGTAAAAAGTCATTAGAAGAAGATGCACCACTTGTGAAGCCTGTCAAGGTCTGCATTCACCCCTCCTGCCACTCCCACTCCAGGCCCATCCAGGCCGGGGGCTGGGAGGGCACGGAAACCACCTGGGCAACTGGGCACCTCCAAATTCACAGACCCTGTGGTCTGAGGTCGGCTGGAAGGTCTGCAAGGCAGGGCGGTGTGAACATTCCTCTCCAGACACTGTATCGCCCTTTACTCACATGGTTATAGAGGACAGATGGAGGACATCAAACCCAGGAGGAAGAGGAGCACAGGGCCTTGCATTGGCCTTGACAGCTTTCACCAACCCAGTGGCCAGGTGACACCCCTGCCCTGACACTGCGCCGCCACCCAGCACTGCAGAGATTATCACTCACCAGGGGCCTCTGAGAACAGAGGGCAAGAACCCCTGCCCGCAAGAGGCCGCGCTCACAGGTGCACAGGCTGCTTCCTCCGGGCCCCGCCCTAAGCACCCCTGCCTGCCCGGGGCTTACCGGGCTGGAAGCCCGGCCCGAGCCCGTGGGAGAGCAGCCCCTCCCGCTGGTGGTTCTGAGGCACCAGCAGCTGCATGGGCCTGGAGCCGGCCGGGCTGGCGGGTGCAGCTCGGCTCTGCTCTGCCTGCCCATCGGCGCTCCCATGACTCTAGGCCCAATCACAGGGCAGAGGTCAAAAGGGCTCCATCTACCGAAAGGCTGTGGACCCTAGGAAGGGTACTGCATGCACCTTCACGCCTCAGTTTCCTACAACTGTAGAAACGGGGGTAGCAGTCCTTAACTCTCAGGGTGGTTATGAGGACTGAGGAGATAACATGTGTTCACAAAGGCCAGCTCCTTATTATCAATATTTCTTCAGTGACACTCTGGGCCCCTGACACAGGTGGAAAAAACCAAGCAACAGCTCATGAGGCAGCAGGGACGGTAGCTTCCCTGAGCGGGCCACCAAGGTGGCAAGCAAGCGCCCACCCTGTGCCCCGATCCCAGCTCTCCACCCCACACACCTACTGACGTCCCCAGGGGCTTCATCCTGCCTGCAGCTCTGCATTCCTGGGGGCGCAGCATCCACCTCAGGGAGCCCAAGCCATCAGGCCGTCCAGGCCCCACCCTTGCCCCTACCCCCAGAGCGCCAGGTCATCACCGGGTTCCACTTGGTGGATGTCCACCTGAGCAGGTGCAGGCGAGCATGCTGGGAAGCAGGGGGAACCATGCCATGACCCGGGGGACAGACGATCGTCCCCAGCCAGCAGAGGACCTGAGCAGCAGACTGTGTTTCCCAACCCTCTTTGCCAAAGACTACAGAAAATGCCTACGGCTGCGGCCCCAGCACAAGCCCCACTGCTCCCTGGGGAGCTCTGGCTTCTCTGGGGCCCCGGCCAGAGAGCTTTACCTGAGAGACAGAGCTAGTCCGGGGCTCGGCAAGGAGGGCACCGTGCGCCGGGCTTCCTACCACCTCTGCCCTCAGTTATCACGTCCGCAGCCCACAAATCGGTTCTGCCAGCGTGTCGTACCCCTGACCTCACTGAGCACACAGGAGGGTCACCATGGCACCAGTGAGGACACAAGGCTGCTGGGGTGACGGCCGGAAGTCCTGGACCGGGCAGACCCCAGGGCTTCCCGTCCTTGTCGCTCTCCCCGCCCCACCAGCTGCACCGCGAGGGTCCGCAAACCCATCACCGTGAGACAAGAAACAGTGAGGGCGACAACAGGGTGTCCTCCTCAGGCTACAGTTTCAGCTTCTCTCTTAATGCCCTGAATCAGAAAAGGCCACACTGTTGCACCCAGACTCCTTCCCTCAGCCCCCAGGCTGGCAGGACAGCAACCCTGAAACAAACAGCCGGGGGTGATGAAGGCAGTCTCCCCTCTTCTGGGGCAGGCAGGGCCACGCTCCTCCACCAGAGGGCCCAGGCTCCCCAAGCCCCACTGCCCTGCACGAAGCATTTCTTGTGGCCACAGGCCCAGTGCTCTCCGCTGCCCTGATTCCCTGACTGCTTTTCACCCACAGGAGGCACCAGAGCATCTGCCATCTGCCTCAGCGCAGGCCTGGGGGCCGGCAGTGAGCAGGGCTGTGGACCAGTTAAAGGCAAGAGATGGACCTCAATTCAACTCCTAACTGACCAACCAAAGTCACTTCACCTTCTCTGGGCCTCAGTTTTCTCATCTGTTAAATGGAGATAATCACAGGACCCTTTATCAGCACTAAATGAAATGACACACATTTTAATGTCCTTAGCGACAGTCCCAGCCCAGAGTAAGGACATCTGGGGTCAGTGCTCAGACCTCCCGACCCCGACAAGACATCTTGGTCTTGTTCGGGCCTAGATGTTTGGCCGCCGGAAGCTCATGAAGTCCATCCACTCCAGGGAGCCTCTGACCCCAGCTGTCCTCCTTAGCTGAGGCATCACCGGCAGCAGCCAAGACACAATGGGGCTTAGGCAGCTCATCAGGAAATAGCTGCAGAGAGCTGTCCAGGGCAGCCCCCCAGAATGGGGACCCCCAGGGTCTCAGGGACATGTGCTCACTACAGGGCTGTCCCACCCAGTGGCCTATCCCTTATCCCCCTGGGAGCTCTCCCACACTCCTAGCCACCACCCTGGGGCTCTTCACCTGACACTTCCCACCCCCTCAGGAGATCCTGAGGGGCCCCTGGATGAGCAGGCAGTCTGGGTCTGCCCTGTTTCCACGCTGCAGGGAGGAGAGGGGTGTCTGGCGGGGAACTTACTCACACCTTCCCAAGTACCCCATTCATCCAGGCACTGCTGGGGGAGGCAAAGGAGTGGCCAACGGAAGAAACAACTGCTCCAGGCCAGGCACCGGCTCCTGCCCTGCACACACTCCGGAGCGGAGCCCAGGCGCTCACTGCCCCTCATAGGGAATAGGACCACTCCGGGAAGCTCCCTCATCCGTAAAACGGGATGATGAGAGCATCTATTGCAGGGAGCGCAATGGGATCATCTGTGTGAAGCCCACGCACACAGGACTAGGCATCAAAGCAAATCCCAAGACAAGCCCACTGGGAAACTGAAGCACAGAGAGCTTAGGCAACTTGCCCAAGGTCACACAGTACAGCAGAAATGTAAATTCTGAACTGTCTGTCTTCAAAGCCCTGCTCTTTCCTGGAACCTGTTCTACTAAGAGCCCAAGAACCAACTGCCTGTCCACAAGACCCCTGCTGTCTGGAGCTCCAACCCGGTTTTCCTCCTTAGTTGCAGCTAAGAACCACAATGTGCCACAGCAGCAAAGGAGGGTAACCGGCGGGGTGAGCCAAGTTCCCAGCAAAGAGCTTTGGGGAGGCAGAGGAGGGGTCGCCCAATGGCCTCCTACGTACCAGTGCTCCTTCCTGGCCTCCCAACAGAGAGAAGCCCCCTCCAAGAAGTCAGGGTGGTGACAGGAGCCTGCAGGGCTGACCCCAGCTGTCACAGCCGACACCTAACAAGAGTAACTGTCACTAAGTGTTTTGACCATCTGGCAAAGCCAACAGCACCCCCATTTTACAGGCAAAGGAACCGAAGGCCAGGGGGTCAGCGGACTGACGTGCACCATCCAGCCAGCCCCCAGAGCCAGGTGCTCGGCCACCTCCCACCTTGGCAGGCCCCACCCCTCCTCCTCTCGCATCTTCAGGAAGAAGAAGGGCTCTGCTTGAAGCCACCCACTGCAGCTGCAAGGAGCTCACCTCCTGACGCCTGCGAAGCTGCCCCAGGGCCATTTCTACCACAACCCGGCACTAGTGGCTCAACTGTGTCTGAATGTTGGTGGCAAGGGGTCCGAGCGGGAGCGGGGCAGCCTGACTCACGTGGAGGTGATGGTGCGGAAGCGCTCCTGCCCAGCTGTGTCCCAGATCTGCAGCTTCACTTTCTCCCCGTTGATCTCCACAGTCCGAATCTTGAAATCCACTCCGATTGTGGTGATGTAACTGCCTGCACACACATGCACGTTAGCCAGTCCCACAGGCCGCCTTGGTTAGACTGCGTCCTAACCGGTCCCCACCATCCCGCCCCACTCACTCGGGGCAGAGGTGGGTTTCTCCCGACAGCAGCCCTGCACTACCCTGGTGGTGTGCTGTTGGAAAGAATGGGGGTGGGAGCTCTATGTGCTCAGGGGACACAGCCCTGAACAAAAAAGACAAGGTCCCCTCTTGGAGGAACCCACAGTCAAGGTGAGGGCAACAGACAGGATATAATGAAAAAAAGTGATAAAGAAGACAATTTCAAGAGTTATGCCTGCCACAAAGGAAATAAAACAGGGGACATGACAGGGGAGGGGGAGGACAATGCTCCTTTAATTAGAGTGGCTGGGACACGGACATGTGCGCTGGGGCCTGGGGGTGGCAGGAGATGAGGATGTACTCTGGTTTCTCTTTCCTATTCTATTCCAAACATTTTAAATGACCCACAAAATTAACTTCCTAAAACACAAACAAGTCATGACCTGCAATTTGAAAAACACTACTCCAGGCAGAGGAGACAGTGGCAAAAATAGCAGTAGAGGGGCGCGGTCATGTGAGGTCAAGAACACAGAGGGAGGCAGGTGGAGAGGCCAGCTCTCGGGGCCTCTGTGCCATTTTCAAGAGCCTGGACGTCCTCTTGTGTGTGGCAGGGAGGCACTGAAGGGTTTTAATCCGAGCATGAGCTGCATTGTAAATAGCTCTCTTGGGGCATCTGTGTGAAAGATGGAGCTGAAGAGAATTTCTGGCGACAGAACAGCCCTGCTCAGGCTTTCAAAGGCCCGAATGTGAAGAAGAGCACATGCTCTCACTCCACTGGGAGCTCACAGTGTGACCCAGCATGCACACAAGACACACACACACACACACAACTGACTGTGCGAAGTGTGGAAAGTGGATAGGAAAGGTCAAAGTCCAAAGCGGGGTGGAGGTCAGGGAAGGCTCTGGGGCGAAAGTCACATTTGGGCCTGGCGTGAGAGAACAGGTATGATTTCAAAGGTTGAGATCAGTGGGGGCAGGACATCCCACCCAGAGGAAAAGAGCTGAGGCAGAAGCAGGGAGAGAATCCATTCAGAGATCAAGACGGCAGGTGGCCCTCTCTGCAGGGACTGGATGACGCCAAGGAGTGCAGCCCAGCACCTAGAGCTGCAGGCACCCGATACACAGCTGACGGCTCAATGAGCGAGTAAGTGAGGGAGAGCTGGTGAAAAAAATGAAAGAATGAACAAGCAACAGGGGAAAGGAAGTCGGAAAGGTAGGTGATGGTAGTTGATGAACACCAGTGCTTTCACCAGGGGATGGCTGTGTCCCCACAGAGGATGCTTGGCAATGTCTGGGGACATTTTTGGTTGTCACAACTGGGCGGGAGAAGGCTGCTGGCATTTAGTGGGTGGAGCCCAGGGACACTGTTCAGCAGCCTTCAATGCACAGAACAGCCCCCACAACAAAGAATTACAGGGTCCAGGGTGTCGATGGTGCTGAAGTGGAGAAACCTTGCTATAAATTCTTCTCATGTGTAAGTGAAGACCGCTGAGGTTTGTAAACAAGAGGAGACCCTATCAGAGACAAGTATTAGCAAGATGGATTCAGCAGTCTGGTATGGGATGGGGTGGGAGCCGCTGTAACGCTTCAGGCTAGACCCAACGACAGTCAGAACTGAGATACTGGTAGTAGAAATGGGAAGGAGGAGCGAGGCTGCAAAAGAGAACCCTGTGAGGGTTGCGAGCTGACAGGAGGGGAGTCAGAGGGACACCAGGAGGAAGGGGGATGCCGTTCGATGACGAGAAGTGCCCACTAGCTACCATCTTTGAACAGGAGACAACAGCAACAACACACCGCCGGTGTTTACTGGGAGATTACTCAGTCCCAGGCACCACGACCTACGAAATCTCAGGTAATTCCCCTATGTGGGAAGGGTGACGATCAGTCCCATCTTACAGACGAGTGGACCCTCGGTTATGCAGAGAAGACAACTCTTTCCAACATCACACCACCGGGGTGGTACAGGGCTACTGTCGGGAGAAACCCACCTCTCCCCCGAGAGAGGCATCCGCCATGTAATCACTGCCCACTTCCCAGTGAGGCTCGGCCGCAGCACAGGGAATCCTCTCAGACCGGCCCGCTTCAGCCCTGGGTCAGGGAGGCCAAGCCAGCCGGAAGCCTCTGCCCTGCACCTGATGTACTTGACCAACAAAAACATATCCCGCTTCACCAGTGACCAGGGAAACACAACTCTGAATGAGACAGCATTTTTTGCCCTTCAGCTAAGCAGAAATGAAGACCACTAAGACCCAGCACTGACAAGGGGCACTCGTGACTCCAGTGGGACTGTCCGTCAGCTCGGCACAGCTTCTGTGCAGGGCGAGTTGGCAGTACCTGTGAAAACCTTAAATGCACACGGCCCCGACCTAGTAACTCCACTTCTGCACAAGAATAAACATACATTCAAGAAATGCGTCCCAAGAAATGCAGCATCACTTAAAACAGAGGCAGCCAGGAGGCACGCGCACATCAGGAGCACTGCTAATGGACCCCGTGCGCCCCTGCGTCCCTGCCCAGCCGCTCAGAAGGACCACAGCTCCGCATGGAGACGTGGAAGGATGGTCCCGCTATGCTGAGGGGAAGGCAAGCGGCCGTCAGGGGAAGAAACAGCTTTTTCTCACTCTGTTGTGTCCTCCTGTTTGACACTTCATATAGGCATGTTATCACTTGTAATTTTTCTTTCTTTTTTAAATGTTGAGGCACAAAAAAAACACCCTGAATAGAAAGAGGATGGGCCTGTAAAAGGGTTTTTTTGCACAAGATAGATGAAGACCCACCACAAGAGACTTCTAACCAACACCCCGTCCTCCCCCATCCCTGTCTTGTAAACAAAATCAGAATGAGGACGTTTCCTGACTTAGGCAGAGGCCACGGTGCTCTGGCGCCAGGGGAAGGGATTTCAAAACCGAAACACCCAGCAGCACCCCAGGGGCAAACTCACCTGAGAAAGTGTTGTCTGCAAAACGTAACAGTAAGCTGCTCTTGCCCACACCTGCAGGGGAGAAGGCAGGAGGTGAGAGGGGCCTCGTTCCCGCTCCAGCCCCGATCCCTCTTCCTAACTCTGCAGAAGCGCGGCAGCACCGTCTCGTCCCCAGCGCTGCTTGTTCTCTCCCCAACAGCTCACGTGTCTCCCCCTCACCTCTGACCTCTCCCTCCATCTCGTGTAAGACAAGCTGCCCCAGACTCCCCAGGGAGAGACGAGAAAGGGACACTTGCCCACCCATGAGGAGGACCAGCCTGGCCCCCGCCCGAGCAACAGCCCCGACGACAGAAATAGAGCAGGGAGACCCATCAAGTGACACTGGCCCCAGAGTGTGTGTAGAATGTGGTCCCCAGAAAACACACAGTATGTGTGCAATGTCCGCTTGTGTGCGGTGAGAGACGAGGGCCTGCACGGCCGCACAGAACCCTGGGGACCCTCGGGGCTATTCTGTAGGCAAGGAATGTGAGGCCCAGACAACTCGAACCGACTGTCGGTCACCTACCCAGGCTGATGCCATTCCCGGCTGGATGAGGAGGGGGCATCTGCCCGAGACCCCTCAGCTCACGGTGCTCAGACCATTTCACTTATCAAAGCCTCCTCGTTCCAAGAACAGGCAGACCCTCGTAAGCTTGGTTTCCCTGTACTTCAACACACAGCAGCTTTAGCCTTCAGGTGCACCTGTCCTGTGCCCTGTGTCCTCCCGTCCCCGCCCCGCTACCCCCAAGGCCAGCTGGGTCAACCAAGCACAGAAGGAAAGCACTACGCACTGAGCACTGAGTGTGGCTGGCACTTTGATGCTCCTGCAGTTTCAACTGCACCTCTTAAGATGAGGCACCTGAGGCTTCAAGAAGCTGGCCTAGGGACCTCAGCAGGAGCAGGAGCAGGAGCGGATCTGAATCCAGGGCTGTCCACCCTGGAGCTCAAAAGTTCCTGCCAATACGTGCTGCTTGGGTGGCCTTCTTGCGTCCGCTTTAGGACATGGAACACAAAGACCTGAAGGGCCCCTGCATCTCTCTCCCGTCAGATTGTTAGCTCACCATGAGATCTTAACCCAGGGTATCAGACATCATCCCACCACCACCAGCTAAGAGCCCATTTTAAGTCCATGTGCAGGTCTGTGGGGAGGAGCCTACGTTCACCAGATCCTCAGAGGGCGCTGCATCTACCCCATCCCCAGCTGACCCTGAGGTGCTCTCTGATGACCTCTGGGGACGTCTCCAAGTGGGCAAGTCGCCCACGATGCCCAGAAGAACTTGTTTCATGGAGTGAACCTGGGTTGGACTGTCCCGAAGGCAGGCCGGGTGCAGCTCTGAGCAGACAGGTGCGGCAGCCAGGGCCCCACCACCCAGCCCCTGCCTGCTGCCGCACTCGGGGCCACTTCCTCCTTGCTGCCCCTGTGAGGCTTCCTGCCGAGCCCAAGGAGAGCCCCGGTCCTGGGCTGGTCCCTCACGGCACTCTGCCCAACGCCAACATCCCATCGGCCCCGTTGGTTCCTTGCTTCCTCCTGGAGCCTCCTGGGTCCGCTTACTCAGCGAAAACCTTGTGTCTGGGCCACTGGGCTGTGAGTTCCTCCAGGAAGGAGTCTTGCTCTGCTTGCCCTGCACGTTCGCGGTGCTGGAAGCTGGGCCCAGCACTCAGTAGGCGCCAACAAAACACTGTTTAGTGAATTTATGACTAAACCAATGCTGATCGCAGGCAGCCATGCCACCTAATGCTGCGAATGCAGCAGCAACAGGAGCTCCAGCAGCAGTGTTCAAACTTCTGGGGGGCAGCAGAATCCTTTTTTTCAACTTAAAATATATCTGACTCCCGTGTGTCTGAGGAAGGATGGTACCCTCTCTGCATGAAGCAGGGAAGCAGCATGCCCCCAGCTCGGCCCCTCGGGATCGCCTTCGTTCACCCATGCTCCTCTGCAGAGCTCTCAAAACCACTACAGTCACCACGCCAACCGCTGCTTCGGGCCTGACACCCACCTCTGCCGGCCTTACTCTTCTCTCTGAAAGGAAGGGAAACCCACCCTGAGAAAGGCTGTCTCCTAAATATCCCTGAAGAGGCCTCCTTGGGAACACATGCCACAACCACCCACTCCGCAGCACCGGCCTAAGGGAGGAAGTGATGGGTACCAGTCTGCCTTCACCACAGCTGAAGTCAACGGCTTCCCGAGGGCCGTCTCGAGCATGAAAGCCAACTGGTCCGGCCCCATCACCGTCACCCTGCAGGGAGCACAGGCCCCGGAACTCGATATCCCTTGGTAGCCGGGAGACAGATCTATTCTGCAAAAACCTTGGCCACCACTCTCAGTCATCACCAGTCTCCCCAGCTTTCGGCCTCTTGGCCTACACACGTGCTCTGGTCCTTAAAACCTTCCACAAAAGTCCACACCTTCAGGCCTGCTCCTCCTTTGGGCTCTAGTTCCCTCACTCCTCTTTGCTTCAGTTCTAGATTGTTCAAGACCCTTAGACCTTTGAGTAAAGTGTTCTCAATTTTAATCCTGGCTGAGCAACTTGTTCACTGTATAACCTCAGACAAGTCACTCCTCTCTCTGAGCCTCAGTTCACTCATCTGTAAAGTCAAAGGCCTTAACTAGATCTCTAACGGTCACTGCAGGCTCCAGGCTCTAAGAACGAGGATGGCTGGACCTGGGGATCAGACAAAATGCTGATACTAATCAGACCCAATGTCAAAAGAGCATAAGAGAAAGTGGACAAGCTTAGGCATAAGGAGCTGCAAAAGCTGAGGGAAGGTAATCCAGAAGCATGTACAATGTGGCAGAGTGGGAAAAAGAGCTCTAGACTTAGAAAGAAAGAAACTAACATTCATTGAGGGCTTGCTGTTTGCCAGGCCAAACCAGCTGCTCACACAGCATCGATGTGCGTTAGCTCCTGGCTCTGCCTCTGACGAGCTATGGGACTTGAGGCAAGTTAGTCAGCTCCTCTGAGCCTTAGTTTCCTTATTTGACAAACCACACAGGCAATGGGTGAGAAAAGGATGAGAGACTGTGAAGTCATTTGATAAACCTTAAGGAAGCATCACATAAGGAGCCAAGTTCAGGGGAGGGTGTGATTCTAGTCTCCTTGCTCAGTTGCCAAAGCTTAGTTTGAACTTCCATGACTACCATCTCCAAGCCTCATAAGCATTCAACTCTGACTATCAGCTCACTGTCAGGAGAAATTCAACTGCAAAGCATCCATCTCCTCTACACCATGTAGTCCTGCATGCTCAGGCTGAACCAGGAGCTGGACCACATAAATCTTGACCCACCAAGTCTTCTCCCACACCTGACTTTTGAGTGAAAAATCAATACACCGTGCAAAACGTACAGTGAGAAAGAGGGCCAAAGCCATCCCCAGGGTTTCATGGGGGAGAAAAGCCAACAAGCTACATCTTCTTCATCTTCTTGCTGAATTTATGCTTTTCATTTTTGGATATCAACACACAGGCCCCAGATGTCTTGCAGAGGGATAAGGACCCTGACCATGGTGGCCTGACTTTAACTCCAAAAGTACAGAAATCACCCTGGTGCCAGCCCCTCAGAACCAAGGTGAGGGCTGAAATCAAATTCTGTAAAAGCATAAGCTTCAGCACCCAATGGAATGCCAGAGGCCATCTCCAAGAGCAAGGCTACACAGCTTCTCTGGTTTTCCTTCATTCAAACCACAACAAATCTGCCCTCCACCTTTTCAACTCCTCCCCTAGTCACAGCTATTCTTCATCTCCCTAGTTAGCCTCTAACTTTTCTCCCTTCCACCAGTAACCACAGAATCTTAACCTCCTCCACCTGATCCAAACCACCAGCCAGGTCCCAATCCAGCTCCAAGGTGAGACCAAAAGCCATCCACTTCCCTGGCCCAGCTACGACACTGTCACCCAACACTCCCACAGCAGTCTTTCAATCCCTTTGATTTGGTCCCTTCTTTCCTTAACAACCCATGGCTCTACCACCAACTTGGCCTCTGACTTCAGTCACATGATCCCCTTGCCCACACTCAACTCAGGTCTGGTCTATAAACCTGGCACGTTCCCAAGCCTCCTTCCCCATCATAAAATTGTAGTACCTCATCTATGCTCCTATAAACCTCCTGGGGCCTGCCTCCCTGACCTCCTGGTCACCCCATAAACCTGCTTACCTGCCACACTCCAAACACCTTTAAAACCCTCCACCTCTTTCTCAGAAACCAGCCTATCTTTTCTGAGCACACCTGATATTCATTCATTCAACAAATATGTATATATGAGGCACCTACTGGGTGCCAGGCACTGCAACAGGCACTGGAGAGGGCGCAGTGCACTGAGCTAGGAGCTCTCCACAAGTGTATAAACAGTCAAAGCACTTTTGTAATGTTGGCTGACCCACCTCCAACAGCCATCTAGTGTACAGTATATAACAGCCAACACAAACTGAGCACGCATGGTGTGCCAGGCACTGTGCTGAACCATGTGTATGTGTGTGAGCGCTTTACCACACTGAACACTCGATCAGCCCACTGAGGCAGATCCTATTACTAGTCCATTTTACAGATGAGCAAACGGAACCACACAGAGACAATAATTCAGCAGGAATGTGCCAGGCCCTGCACGAAGTGCTTTACCTGTCTCACCTCATTTCAACCTCACAGGAATCCCATGAGGCAGGTTCTGGAAACATCCCCATTTCACAGAGGAAGAAACTGAAGCTTACAAAGGCTGCTGATAATCACATCAATATCTAACACCTACCGAGAGCTCACTCCGGCAGGTAGGATGCTAAGCACTTTTCCCCAGCTTTATCTCATTCAGTACTCACACTACCCAGAGAGGCAAGACCCCACTTCTCAGATGAAGGAATTGAGGCTCGGAAAGGCGAAACAACTTGCCCAAGGTCAGAGTGAGGAAGCTGGTAGCCCTGGGACTCGAACCCCGGTCCGTTCAACTCCAGAGATCGCGCGACTTGACCAAGGTCACACGTGAGGCAGGGGCCGGCGCGTCGAGAGGACCGGGCGCCCAGCCCAGACCCCCGAACACCCGCGA